GAAACTTTATCTCACTGCGAAACAAATGAGTCTGTAACTTCCGAGCAGATAGAAAATACATCTGATAACGCGTCTTCCGCCCCTGTAGAATGGGTTGAGCCCCGAGTCTCCGACTTAACTAAATCGTTGGAAGATAAAAAGATTGATGATTTTCTGGATCTAAAAGAAAAGGAAAGGGTTAGTAATATGATGGAGAGAAACAGGGAAAAAAATATTCAGCATACCATTTCTTCCGAAATAAATTCTACAACTGAGATTTTCCAAGATACTATAAATCAAGATCAAAAAACAATTCAATTGGAATCTCAAACTTTTGCTGAATCAGAGCAAATAACGATTAATCAGATACAGGATACTATTCCTTCCGAAATAGCGAAAATCCCCTATAACCAGAAGGTAGAGCAAGGTTTAAGGGATGAATTTTCCGTTTGCGTCAAAAGTGATAATAGTGTATTTGATATACATATTCCCGAATTCTCTTTAGAAGCAATTATAAGAGGCTCTGGGAAAGTTACGTCACAAACTATAGTTGATTTATTTAATATTGCTATGGAGACTATACAAAAGGAGATTTTATGCTGGTATTGTTACTATAAAGCGTATGAGGATAGAATCGAAGATGTTAGGTGTATAAATAATATTGGTGATCAATCAGCAAGAACATTGGTATATAACGAAATAAAATTGTTACTCCCTGATATTACTAACGTAAATTTGCGTCAGAGAACATTTAAAGCTAAAAAAATTTATACATTATTTATGGGAATAGGGATAGATAGAATTAGACAAGTAACTTATGGCGCCAATGCTATTTCGAGCTTAAAAGATGATCAAATTCAAAATATTATAAATCGTTTCCCTAAAAAGTCCACTAACACAGACGATGCAGTTAATTGCCAAAAAGTGACCGAAACTTCTGAATCAAATTCTTTAAGTTTTGACCTGGAGAATGAGATACTTCTTCTTTCTATATTATAGGGCAGAACATATATACCAAAATTGATTAACGAATAAATTTTTTACGTTTTAGTCTAATCCATATACATTACTTTTTGTATTTAAAATCTTATGATAATTGAAGGTATTCTACTAGCGCCAGTACTGATAATCTAACATTCCTGTCAACATTGAATCTATTTCCGCGATCTGGGAATCGAAAGGATTATAATGCACGGAATGCGCTTTCTTCGAAAGATCATTATTCTTAGACTGAGGCGTAGAAATTTGAGATTCAGGTTCGGAATCAGAAGTATCGCCCTCAGCATAATACTTTCCAGAATCAAAACAGTCTATCTTATGTCTCAATGCGATTCTACAAAGTAAATCAAGACGTTGGGTCGTTGGATTTTGCCCGCCATGAACTCTAGAAGCGTGTTTGCCTCCTATTTTTCTCAACCTTTTGGCTGTAATACCATATGGCTTTAAAAATTTGCTAAATGCTCTGGTATTACGTTTTCCATTATCACCATATACAGGATCACTTATCTTCCTGGTTGCTATTGCATCTTGGATCCAAATAAGCAATTCTCTTGCACGTTCTGGATTCTTTTCCATGGAAAGGAATTGTCGGGGCACAGGATTAATTTTCATTTCTTGCTTATTTTTAGCGTATCCTGTACAATACCAAGAATAGCCAGGTTTGTACCATTTTAGATAGTCTGATTCTTCGTAATGGATAATGCGAAGAGTGGTAACTTCAGCAGGTCTCAAGATATTCCGTAAAATTAGCAAAGTATTTATGAATTCCTCTAGAATAGAAGGATCGTTTGAATATCTAATCGGTATTTCAGATTCCCGCAAATTATAATAACGATGCACCTCAATCGAATCTCTGATAAGAACATTCAAACGTAATTTACATCCCGCCACTTGTACTCCAACAATTCCAAACTGGCTATTTTCTACCCTACGACCTTTAAGCGCCCAATACATTCCATCGTTTGTTTCGCGCCATAATTTCATACTATCATCTTCCTCCTTTTGTATGGTACAGATAATTCGCGAACATTCCGCATACATAAGTTCATATAATTTATCGCTTTCCTTTAGAGATAAGCATAATATCTGGCCGTCGCCCCATTCGTTTATCTATTTTTTTTTCTATCCGCACTTGCGAGACTCTGGCGTTCAAAGCTGGAAAAAAAGAAAAGAATAAGTATATTTCCAAATTTCAGAAATCAAAGTTATCTTTTTACATTAAAATATCATCCTTTTGATTAGTCAAGTCTATCATTTGATTATATCGTTATTTTCAGAAACCAAGGAATCTATTTTGTGACAAGAGTAAGAAGAGTTTATCCTTCTCATCTTTTTGTTTATTAGTAAAGCATTTTTTAATTAAATCTATTGCAACATTTCATTTAATGCCTGTAGCAATTTGTTTGCTAAATTTATGAAACGTAATTGTTTTTGCATTTATCAAACATTTCGGCAATATTTGGGATTCGACCAGGTGACACACTCTTATTTAGATTTGATTGGCCAAATATAATGAAATTAAAACTACTCAAGCTAGGGCGAAATTATGTTGGCGTCAAACCTTTAAATCTTTTCCAAAAGATTATTCAATTGTGGTGCCCGCCTGATGGTCTAGTATTAGGATTAGACCCTTTTTCTGGGTAAAAAAATCATCGTTATGAAGTCAAGCAAAATATTTTATTAATATTTAAATAATTATAAGTTTTGATTTTATAAATTTTGATTTTAAATAATTATAAGTTTTAGAAAAATTATCGCTGATAATCTAAAATTTTGAGAGGTAAGCAAAGAATAGTAATATAGCCTAAGAAAAAACGTCAACATACTGAAACTAGGAAAATATTTTAGAAATGAAAAAAGACATCCATCAGCAATTAATTCACAAACTTTGCAATAAAATTTTCTGATATTTTTTTTTTGGAAATATCAATCTACTCTTATGACAAAGATTTCAAATTTAATAATTGTGATAAAAACAATCGTTCTAAAATAAATCTTATCTAGGAGACCTAATTGTGACTTCATGTAGAGGGGAATCGTTGGGATCGACGGCTTTACATTTCTTTTTAGAAGAATTTCTAAGATTTTGCAAATTCACAATGACTCCATTCTAAGTATGTAAAAAGAATTCAAGAGACAAAATTAATAATAAGTTTAAAGAATATAACCAGAATTGAATTACACCTCAAAACTAAACTTTGTTGTGCTTGGTAAGCCAAAATACAAACAATAAAAGGGAATCAAGCCCTTACCCTCAAAGTCAACAACGCATGTACAAAATCTTCCACTTCCTGAACTGATTCATTGAATAATGGTATCATAGTTTCTGATATAGGAAAATTAAATCTTGCACCTTTTTCACTCGTCAACCCGTTTATAATGAGAGTATTCCCTATAATTAATGGTATAAATCCAAATTAAAAAAGAACTCTTCTTAGAAGTTAACCGAGTTCATATATATACCTGCAACATTTATTCTGAAAACCAATAAGAAGCTACGTAGTTTCTCCTTTTTAAACTTTCTTGATAATTCGTCGTAACCATCCGAACAGAAGCGTACAAGGCTATTATGGTCGTCTAATCGTTTTTTCTCGTCAGAGTCCCATTTTCCACCTTCAGCATACGTGATTTCATTCCATTTCCATTGAAAAAATGCCCGTATCATTATGTCTGGCTTATTACCTCTTGACCCAGTGCCTTGATGTATTTTCCTATTTTTACTAGCAACACTCTGTTGTTCAGATCTATATAAAGTCAGTTTTCAGTTAACCAAAAAAAAATAACATTCTGTAGATTACCTAGTTATATCAATCTTGAATTCAAGTGGTAAATCACACATAGTTACATCAATCAGACGACCAATCATTTCCATATAAGTTCCCTCTGAATGTCCAGAAATTCTACAAATAATATCCGTCCTTATTTCTTGTAAAATAAAATCTATTATACCTTGTGCCACTCCTTCTCTCACAGAAATTGGTTCGACCCAATGATCATGGTATACAACTTGAGATGGTGTTATAATAAATTTAATTTTCGTCTGGATTTCATCCTTTTTCCGCACGAATTCAGCACATAAATTTTTTATTGGAGCTTCTTTAACTATATTCCTTATGTTTGCTTTATCACCCTGTAGAATGAACCTGTGGGTGAGTATGTGAATTATCAATACCTTTCAAGATTGGAATTAACCAAGAACATACCACAAGAATGTCAAAATCAACCTCATTTATGAGAAAACGGTCACATTTAAGATCAACTACGCCATTACATATAGGATCATCATATGTTAGATTGTTTAAATCTAATTTGTCAATTTCTCTTAAAATTTGCCCATGTACAGCCGTGTTGCCTTTCTAATAGTTTAAATTAAAACTTTAAGTATATTAAGCAAGCAAATATAGAAAAAAAATTTTTTATTGTACAAGTTTTTAATACCCTCATTGCATCTTTTAAGCTACCAATATTGCGTTCGGCTTGAAGTTTCCAAGTTTCAGATTCGTAAAATTTGGAACTTCAAAGATTGTATATGTTAGTTTATTATTCTAGACACAATTTGCTTCTTATTTCTTTAGATTTTAAAAAGCTTACCGAAATAAATTAGCATCAACCAATGATTTCAGCTCATTCCACAAATAACGTATCTAAAGAAGTATAAATAAATAACCCGTTAAATTATTTCTTAAAATGATAGTCCTTATAATTTAGAAAAATGATTGCAGATCAGCTTAATTCAGTAAGCTATAGCTGGTGTGTACTATTACTGAATATTTTAATCACTCTCATGAGGTACAATGTGGCAGGATCTCGCGACATGGCTTACTCAACGACATTGTGTCCTCATGAAATGCAATGTGGCAGGATCTCGTGACATGGCTTACTCAACGACATTACATTCAAGAAAACAGACAACTTATCCACTTAATCCTATAATATCCTGCAGTAATATAATAAGAGTCTGCGAACATGTTGTTGCCTGTTCCGTCATAACTAAGAAATCATCATATCTGCATAAATACTTATTAAAATTATTAAAAGATAAGTACCTTATCTATATCTTGTAGTCATTTGAGATGAAGTTTGCATTGTTGTTCATTAATTTCCATCGTTACTTCCGCTAGGATGTTGACAATTCGTGCACAATCATCATTATTTGTTTGAAAACCGTACAGTCTCCATGTTTCATGTAAAATTCTACTTATGGTTATTTCTTCTAACGGTGCTTCCTTCAAAAATTTCTGCAAGAAAGGAAAGTTTCCAGTTTCTTCGGATATTGTTGGAATTACCGACATTTGCACATTCGAAGTACTAAATATTTTTATTATGTCCTAAATGTTCACATAATAAAATCTATATGTACTTAAAATAATGAGAAAAATTTTTTTTTTTTGAGATAGAGGGTATTATATGAAAAATTGATAAAGATAGATTAGCTAACCAGATAACGTTAAAAAAAGTTAAAAATCAATCGATAACTTTCCATGTTGTGTAACATTATACTCATCAGGAGATGAAAACGTAGAAAATCATACACATACGGGCCAATTTTTTTGATCGACGTCCTGTGACATTTAAAAATTGATTATTTTTATATATTAAAATCACAAGTCATCATACACGAATCTATAACGCACATAATAATCACTCTTGTGTTCCTAAGTAAAGATATTCTCCTACGACCTTTAAATATAGTAGTAATAAGAATCCCACTTAAAAAGAAACCAATAAAAAAGAATCCCGTTTCAAAAATTACGTTTATAATAGTAATACAGTTAATTATTTATATATATCTAAAAATAAATAATGATCATCAAAATGTAACGCCCACATGTCATTAATACTTTTTTCTTTTGCCGATCGAACAAATTGGCCCATATGGTGTGTAAGACGTCACTTTGGGGGATCAACATAGTAAATTTGTTAAACTTGTGCAACTTTAAAGCTTAATTCCTCCACAACAACATGACATGTCAACAAAATGAAAATGTCATTTTGTAGAAAAAGGTCTTAGCTTCAAAATGACATCTTGTTTTTTTGGTCACACATTTCCATTTTTGGAGGAGTTAAAGGATTTGAAAGTCTAATAAAAGTTGTAGGGACTAGGTGTCCTGCACTATACTCAATTTTGGGAATTTAGAAAGAGAAAATATGAATATTGGACTGATTTCAAACCTACTTGATTATCTGCCTTTTCCCCCAAGGCTAGGTTTATTTGCAATAAAATGTCACAAAGAAATTCTAGGTATCAAATCACAATCTAAAAATAAACAAATATTAATTAACGACCACATCCGGAATTTTAATGTTAAAACTTTCAATTGATAATTTCAATAAATATGAGTAAATAAAAAATATTTATCTTCTTTTAGGCAATGATTAAATTGGGAATTGTGAATTCATCACCAAATTGATAAATTTTGCTGTATTAATCATGCAGTAAAGGGATGACTAGCATAGATAGCCCAATATTGCAATCAGAAAATTGGATATTGTGCCTAACAGTTATTTTATCAATAATTTTCTTTGCTGTTGGCCGTTTTGAGAAATCCTTGTCCCAACATTTTAATAGAAGTTCTTTGTAACATTCAGGCTGTCATCATCAATTGATGGCCTATGGATAAGTTGAATGCAATTTTCTTGGAATTACTCCGAAAATCTCTTCCAAGATCAGTTATTTCAAAAAATTTCGCTTTGACATAAAACATTACCACTATGCAATTTCGATGAACTTTATATTCTCTATTAATTCTATTTAGACCTTCAAACAATTTACTAAAACACCATGTTCATAGTAATATATGGACCTTGTGAAACTCCATATGCTCTAACAATCCCAGTTTCAGTTCGGTAATAACTAATAAGTTTGATCTTTCAAACTTTGTTAATTTACATTGATAATAAAATTCCAGCATTCTAAAAATATTAACTTACTTCTGTAAGTTCATCTTCATCTAGTGAGCCAAAAATTGTTTTCAGAACTATAGTCATATTCTCTTGAGAGTTTAGTTGTTGTGTTAATTCCAGCCACTAGTTCAACATTCCAAACCGCTTTTAAGATGAACCCATCTTTTCTCATGTATTCAATATTGAAAAAATTCTTGTGGAGAATTCATTCGAGCCAAGTAAAATAAGGTATGGATTGCTGAAAAAGAATAAACGCATTAGGATATCCATTGCCACTTGTCTATGGTGGATAAATACATTTTGGACATACACACCCTAGACAAAAGTTTTCGGACACCTGTTTTTACTAATTGCGCAAAACTACACATAATAACTATACATAAAATTTTTGTCATTTGCGGCCTAGGTTTTGACGAACATGTGTATAAATTTTCATGGTTCTAACACGTTTAGAATCCAGTAAATAAAAAAAATACCAAAAAGTTTATTTTGATGATCTTCAAAATTGAAAAAATTAAAAATTAAAAAATAAAAAGATGAATAAAAATGAAAATTAATAACGCGTAGGTCCCCCATCTTTTTCTATACATGCCTCGATCCTTCTAGGCATGCTCTCAATTAATTTATAATATCTTTCACAAGGAATGCTCGCCCATTCTTCTTTCAATGCATGCTCTAACTCTGAAGCATTTTTTGGATATCTTTCCCGTTTTTTTAATCTTCTCTCAAGTTCATCCCACAGATGTTCAATTGGGTTGAGATCTGGGGATTGAGAGGGCCAATCAGACAAAATTTTTATTTTTTTCTTCTTAATCCAATTTTGTACATCTTTTGCAGTATGTACTGGTGCATTATCATCTTGAAATGCATAGTCTCCGCCACGAAATTTTCTTCTAATCAATGGCAACAAATTTTTTTCTAAAATTCGTATATAGTCTAAACGATTCATTTTACCCTCCACTTTTACTAATGGACCTAGTCCTTTTCCAGAAAAGCATCCCCAAACCATTATGCCACCACCACCATGTTTAACTGAAGGGACAATATTTTCAATATTGTAACATTGACCATCAGTACGCCAAACATGTATTGGTCCATCACTTCTGAAGATTGTAAAGCGTGATTCGTCACTCCAAATCACCTTGCTCCAGTCTTCTATTGTCCAAGACCTTCTTTCTAAACACCACTTTAATCGTTTTTCTTTTTGTTTTTGTGTTAAAAGTGGTTTAACAGCCGCAGCCCTCGAAAAAATCCCCAGTTCATGCAAACTTCTACGAACAGTTCTTGTGCTAATTTCTTTGCCACTAACTTCAGTAAATTTTATTTTGATCTCTTCTGCAGAACTAAAATTATTGTTTTTTGTAATTTCTTTTAAAATTTTTTTGTCATCATCATCTAAACTTTTTGGTCTGCCAGATCGTAGAGCACTTTTAACATCATCTGAATTTTTATAACGCGTAATTTGATTATGAACTGTGCTTTTGGGGATTTTGAGGCATTTGGAGATTGCTCTAATACTTTTATTACTCATATGAAGACCTAATATTTTTCCTTGTTCAAGTTCAGTCAAATCGGAATTTTTTGGCATTTTTGTAAAAAAAGATGGTGAAAAATTGTAGATCAAGATCTAATTATATATGCGTGCTAGAAGTATTATTTTCAATATATACATTCCCTGGAACATGAACTTTAAGATCATATAGTTTTATATTTATTTATTATGTGGATTTTTGAGAAAATACAAAAGCTCATGAATGACATCAGTTTTTTAATCGAAGTTAGTAATTTTTTATTTACTGCAGTTTTAGACAAGTTAGGATCATGAAAATTTATACACATGTTTGTCAAAACCTAGGCCGCAAATGACAAAAATTTTATGTATAGTTATTATGTGTAGTTTTGCACAATTAGTAAAAACAGGTGTCCGAAAACTTTTGTCTAGGGTGTGTATGTACCGTCCCGATGGTTTAACGGCTAAAGAACTAGCTGAACATTATAAACTCTTACAATCTGTTAGAGAAGAAATGCGCCAGGCTATCGGTGAATAGATATACTTTTGTTCCGAAATCTGAGTTTTTTATCAATATATATTGCTTTTTAGATAAAATAAGTCTAGTGAATAATCTATATATTTTTCCATATTCACTCTAACTTCATACCGGCAGGATCGGTCAGCTCAATAATATGAGTAGCAGATAGAATGTGGAATACACAGAGTGATTTTATCTGAAATATATATCTACCTCAATTTCAACACCGGCTGGATACATGCATCTCTACAGAGTGGCGAGTAAGATATATACTATATTCTATATAAAAAAAATGGCGGGAAAAATATTATTATTTGATTGATTGCTTACATTAAACTTAGACATCTTTTTATATGAAATCGAAGAAAAAAGTCTCTATTACAGGAAATGGAGATAAGTTATTCAAGCTAAAAATTTTTAATCATAATGTAATATCTTTATTACGCATTTTTGATGACTTGATCTCTTTTTCCAGATCTAGAGGATTCATCCAGCCGATCCTAATGGACATAGGATCAGAAATAGGCACAGTGGTATCGAAGACAATGAATTCGCCATCCCGTAAATAATTATTGATGATTTTAGAAGCTTTACGTGGATCTTCTTCTATGTATTGTCTTATAATTCGTGCAATATCTTCTGTGGATCCTCTGCCATTAAATAATACAAGATGCGTTGCATTCTCACGAATAATTTTTGGAACTTGAGTAAATTTATGTGAAATATAAATAGCAGAGATATTGTTATGACGTCCTCTATTAAAAAATGAAATGATACGATTTTGAATCGCTGAAGATTCAGTACACATATCCTCAAAAATAAATACTGTACGTCTTTTTGGATTTTTAAACTGCTTTAGATCTGGAATTTTATCAGGTGTAAATGTAGTAAAAGTAACATCTTCATAATACGGTTTGGAAGGATCTGCTATTTTCTTATAGAAATTTCGAAGTAATCGGTATTTGGGTTCATTGGTATGATGTCCTACTAATACAATATCATTACATCGTATATGACGTTCACCAATTCGTTTTTTTTTCATTTTCATATCATAATATTTATCCCCAAGAAAAAGATATAACACCATATTGGATTTACTGGTGTTTGATCTTCCAGACATTACAATATAGAATGGCCACTTTGGAGCATCTTCATTGTCTAAAGATTTCTTCGACGGTTTAACTTCATCGATATGATATATATAATAGTATTTCATTCTGTTATAATTTTCGAGATAAAATATTAGACACAATTTTGAATATATTAATATTTTTTCTAGCAAAATGATCGGTGTTGCGAGACAGAACACGCACATGATTTTTTACATTTTGAATAAATCTATTTCTTATATATATAAAAAAATATTATCGAACATGGAATCCGAATTAGATTTGTTAAGAAAAGAGAATGCCAGACTTACCGTTAGGATCACAGAATTAGAACAAAGTCAGATGAGAGAAGCAAAACTTACCACTAGAATTGCAGAATTAGAACGTGCTATTGAGGAAATCAAAAAACAAACTAATATGCAAGAGGTAAAGCTTCAAATTCCCGATTCATCCTTAGATTATTCAGAATCGCAAGAAACTTTGTCTTACTGTGAAACCATTAATCGTGTAACTACTATCATTGTCCCTGAAACTATTCATATGGAACCAACTCCTGAACAGATGGAAAATACATCTGATAACACGTCTAATTCTGATGTATGTCAGGAGTCGATAACACAGTGTTCTGCATCACCTATCCACACAGAGTCTAAATCATTAGAAGATAAAAAGGTCGATGAATTCCTGGAATCAGAATGTAAAAGACATATTAGTAATGAGATTAGAGAGAGAAATACGGAAAAGAAGATCCAAGATCATACTTCTGCTGAATCGGAGCAAGTTTCCATTGATCAGAAAATTCCTTATAATCAGAAAGTAGAACAAGACCTAATGCATGAGTTATCTGTTTGTGCCGAGAAAACTATTGCTATGCAAGACATAGATGCGCAAATTCCTGAGCTACCTCTAGAAATAATATTAGCAGGGTCTGACAAAATTACAACTCAGATTATAGTAGATTTGTTTAATACTGCAATGAAAACTAGACAAAAAGAGAATTTATGCTGGTATTGTTACGCTAAAGCATATGAATATCGAGTTATGAATATTAAATCCACGAAAAACATCAATGAGCAATCAGCGAGAACATTGGTATATAATGAAATCAGAGTACTTCTTCCTGGTATTACCGGTGTAAATTTGCGTAAAAGAACTTTCAAAGCTAAAAAAGTCTATACATTGTTTGAAGGAATAGGAATATACAGTGTGGATCATACTCAAAAGTTAAATTTTTTGAAATATTATGTGATCCACACATTGGATTTTTAAAAACTCACCACCATTCAATTCGGCTTTAAAAAGGGAGTCTATTAATCTAAAAAAAAAATTTGTCTCAAATTTTCTTTTTCATAGATTTTTTAAATTTGAAAGTTATGCTCAGAAGTGCAACAATAATTTTCGTGTTACAATATTTTGAATCTCATGACCAAATTTGGTAATGATTTTCTTTTAATATGTTCGTTAAACTTTTTGTAGAAAATATTCTATGAAAAAAAAATTGTTACACAAAATTTACTTAGTCTCAATTTCTTTAAGTTTATAACAAAATTCGGAATTTTCAAAATGCTAAGGCTCAGCCAATTTTCAGTTTAAGAAAAAACCGGCCGATAAGTTTTGAAGCTTGACTCATGAACAATAAAACTTATCGGTTAAATTTTTTAAAATGATATAATTTTTTTCTGTTTTAGTATTTTGAAGTTGACCGATTGTTACTATAAGCAAATTAATGATTATAGATGATCTGCACCGTATAAAATTAGGCAAGTAACTTTTAGTGCGAATGCTATTTCAAGCTTAAAAGATGATCAGATTCAAAATATTATAAATTGTTTCCCTAAAAAGTCTACTAATATGGACGATACAGTTAAAAAAGTAATAGGCGTTGCGGAACTGAACGTGCACGTGATACAACTATCTAGTTCAAACGATATATCAAACACTAAGGTAAGTATATCTGATGAATCGATTCCCTTGGAATCATCTATCGATTCTAAAAAATTATTAGAAGCTGAGATAAGTGAGGAAGCCAAGAAAATGTCTTTACCGGAATCTGAGGTAAGTATAAGCGCATTGTCTGAAAAAAAGTATCAGGAACCGAGTTAAGTATACCACCATCTAATACCCTTCCAAAGCTCTTTCCATTCAAGAAGATGCTATCAAAAGAGGAGCGTAATCAAGTTATTAACAAATTAACCATGCGTTTCTCTGATTCTCCAAAATTGGACAAAGATTATAGTATAGATAAGGAAGGCGAGCACCAGAGTGATTCCTATTGGATTTTCGGTTCACATTGTCCAATATGTAGAGAAAATCATATGAGTTTACAAGGTAATTGGTGGTTTGATAATCGAAGTAAAAAGATATATTATTATTTGCATTGCACTAATTTAAAAGAGCCAGGAATTTTTATTGATGAGGTATTAGAAGCTTATCCTGAAAATTCAAAACCGATTCAGGAGTTAAAAACTCAACGCTTCACATCACCTATCCCTTGGAACAATGCTCTTATATTTCCAAATAAAAACATAGCAGTGGAAGCATAATTGTAGATAAGTATTTACAAATCAGTTGATATTTGATCTTGTAACGCACACGCGATTTTTCTGCAAAAGTTGGTCGATGCTAGATATTAGTATACCATTTAATAGGCTTCAGAGGGGCTAAAATTGAAGATAAGTATTTTTTTATTACATAGCTATATATTTATTATGGCGCTTGCATTATCCGAACTATTAACGAAAATTTTTAATTCCAGCTAACATCGAATCTATTTCCGCGATTTGGACATCAAAAGGATTATAGTGCACTTTATTTGAAAGATCGTTATTCTTAGGCTGAGATTTAGGTTCGGGTTTAGAATCGGAATCGGAATCAGAATCAGAATCAGAAGAAGTGTCGCCCTCAGCATAATAAGTTCCAGAATCAAAACGGTCTACCTTATGTCTCATTGCAATTCTAGCAAGTAAATTAAGACGTTGGGATGTTGGATTTCGACTACCATGAACTCTAGAAGCATGTTTGCTCCCTATTTTTCTCAATCTTTTGGCGGTAATACCATATGGCTTTAAAAATTTGCTAAATGCTCTGGTATTGCATTTTCCATTATCACTATATACAGGATCACGTATCTTTCTGGTTGCTATTGCATCTTGGATCCAAATAAGCAATTCTCTTGCACGTTCTGGATTCTTTTCCATGGAAAGGAATTGTCGGGGCACAGGATTAATTTTCATTTCTTGCTTATTTTTAGCGTATCCTGTACAATACCAAGAATAGCCAGGTTTGTACCATTTTAGATAGTCTGATTCTTCGTAATGGATAATGCAAAGAGTGGTAACTTCAGCAGGTCTCATGCTTAACATCATGATTACATCCGCAAGATCTTGCATAGTGGGAATTTTAGTAGTGTCGATATTTTGAATTCTTCTAAGTCCCTCATCTAAGGAGAAGTGCTTAGGAGTTTTAGGCGGATTAGCTAATCTCTGTACAAGTTGTCTTTTCTGAATTTTGTTAGATTCTTCAGTAGTAGTTGGGTTTTTAGCTAATAGAATATTTTTGGGATCGGCTCCAGCTTCTGCCAATTCCTTACGGAATAATGTAAGTCGTGAACTGGAAGCAACTTTTTCCTTATCGCTATCGTTTTTTGTCTTCATTAAATCTAAAGTATTAGCTAATATATCAAATTGATCACCACTTTTAGCGCAATACTCAGCTCTTTTCTTGATGGTACATTTTTCATTCCTTTTATCTGGCACAAGAGCCTTGATCTGATCTTTACTGAATGAACGTCGATGAAGTAATTCTTTCATACTTTTTCGAGCCTTCCAGTCTGGTAACATAACACTGAGTTCGCTAGCATAGTCGCATAATTGAGATGGATTGGATTCAATAGTCAAGTTGTATTTTTTTAGGACCTGAACTAAAATCGATGTAAAGTTATTAGTTTTGGACTTTCGAATTTTTTGAGCAGTTTCCATAATAGCCATTTAGATAATATATACACGGAAAGTTTTAGTATACGAATACTTACAAATTCGAATCTTTAAAATCAAAATTTTCGATCCAGTAATACTTTTTTTGAAATTGAACGACGCCGCATATACAAATCAATAAACAAAATGAGTCTGTCTAGGGAGGAAAAAAAACGTCTATATAAATCATTTCAACAACAGCGCCAAAGTCAAAAATTGGCTGAAGTCAGTGAGGCAAAAAGTCTTTTCGCAGGTTTAACGGATCTTGAGCATGAAACTGGTTATAGAGGAGAACATATGTATTTTAAATATTTACTTCTGTCTAATGGACAGAGTGCACTTACTTCAGAAGATGATTCGGAAGATGATGCAAAGAATATAGCACTCTTGGGTGTATATTATCCAGAAGAGATTAATTCTCGATATATAATTTGGGTCGCAGGAAAAGGCTTTACAGTAATAGACCATCCTTCTGAAATTTATAAAATACCGGATGCACATGAATGCATTAACGGGAACCAGCCCCTTCGTCCTATATTAGATATTGATGCAAGACAAAAACCAGATCCTGCAAATCCAGAACTTCCTTCTTTAGATGGCGAAAAAATTACTCGTGATGATTTGATGTCTCAAATTTTAATTGCCTGTGCGGATGCATTAAATCTTATACCGGGATGTATACCTATCTTAAAGTCTTTTGCCCTAGCCAGTTCATCAGATGCAAATAAATGTAGCTGGCATATTATTTATCCTTCCGCTCGATTCGTAGATTATAGAGAACTTAAGGGCTTTACGGAAAAAGTTATCGAATTAGTTGGAAAACCTTACTCGAAGTTTATTGATGTAGGCCTTCCCAAATCACGTTTTAGCCTTCGGCTTCTTGGATCAGCAAAAGAAAAAAGAATTAAAAGACCTGCGATATCTTCAATCAAAAATAAATTTCATTCGCTAGAGGATTATTTGGTTCAACCAAAATCGAATTATTCTGTGATCTGGCCACGAACCTTTTCTTCTGAAAAGTCCGCAGAGAAAAAATTCCAACCTATCGAAGATGAAGATGCCCTGACTAAAGGAGCTAATCTGGTTATTGCAAAGTATAGGTGGCTCAAGATTGGAACTATCGAGAAGGGTTTTATAAATTTTAATGCGCAATTATCTGAAGAATGTCCTATATGTGACGTTAAACATGAAAAAAATCAATTATATGGGTTTCTTCTAAAAGACGGACGTTTTATACTCAAATGTTTTTGGCAAAAACAATATAAACCAGATCACAAAGGGTTATTATTTGGTGAAGCAGCGAGAGCAGTTGAGTTACCTAAACAGAATATTATCAAAAGAATAGCCAATGCTGTATCAAATCCACGTCCACTTCCTGAATTAGCCGGAGAAATTATTAACGTGAAGGAAATGGAAGATGCACCAGAAGCTTATCCGGATTTCTTGAGCGAAAAATCTAGTACAACTCTTATCCGCTCTCCTATGATGACAGGAAAAACAAAAGGTCTAAGAATAATTATCGATTCATTGACTAAAAGTGGCGCAAATTTACCTTCCATTATTTGGATCTCTTATCGAAAAACTCTTAGTAATGAATCACAAGGTAAAATTAATGAACTTAAATCGTCAGGGCTCAAAATCTGTACTTATCAAGATGAACGGAATTTATCTGTAGACAAATGGGATGTTATTATAGTCCAAGTTGAAAGCCTTTCTCGTATCAAATTCTCAGCCCGTCCGATTGTAGCTGTTTTTGATGAAATCAATGCAATTTTTCGCCAAATGAATAATGGTGTAAAAGCACGCGAATCTGAAAATGCAATGCGTGATGTATTAAAATCCGCTCAACACGTGTTGGCAATGGACGCATTTGCAAATGAATCAACATTGACCTAGTGTTTAAATCCGAATCTCAAATGAGACTCATTAAGGGGTTACACACTATCAAAGTAGCTTAAAATCATGTGTTCACCCATGAT